CAGGTTTCAGCGAGATAGCTTTATCCAGCTCTTACTAACTAATAATAATATATGGCCTCAAACGAATGTGACGCTCTTTGGGTCTCTCGAGCGAACGGAGCTCATTATACAGTTGAATCGCGCAATCAGGACAAATGCAAACTTGAACAGCTGCCCTTAAAGTAACTCCTCGTTGATTAAATGGGTTGCAAATCGTGTGCTGTGGTTTAAAGGTTAGTGTATTTTGTTTAAAATGTAGTGAAATGCACTCGAGTGCCGGATTTGAAAGTAATGAGTGGACACATTCTTCTTCTTTTCACATCCTTAAGCTATTTAATTCCTAGTATTCATCTCTCGAAGAAAGTCGTTCATCATGTTAACTTTCCGATCCAAGCACAGCTAGTTGGGTTCATTGGAGGGTTTTCGCTCTGCTGAGAGTGAATGGGGCATTCGATGAGGAATAGACTGCAAACGAACATCGCTTTCTTTAGGTCCAGTCGAATCACCCAGGCGCTGTCAAAACTGACTACAATTTCTTCCACATGGCTAATGCTTCATGCTGTGAGAACGATATCATCTGCGAAACGATGCTCCTGCTGCAGGCTATCGCCTTTCATTTCCCATGTTATCACATTCCACTTTTCCCACAGCATTCTCAAATGAGTTGTGAATGGTCATTTTAACAAAAAGTTCGTTCGTCCGTTAACCTTAACGTCGATGACAATATCGTTATAAGATGGTGATTAGTTCGGGTTATAGTTTATTTGTTTGGCCTCTAAGTTATGAGGGCTGTTAGAAATTGAACTGTAATGTCGTGTTTTTCTAAAACTTTTATGACGATTAATGCCTTAGAGAGCAGAAGACGTTTGAGCTCTTTTTTGTAATTACTTGGAACATCTATGTATTTATTTTATTTGCACAACTCGCCCTTCACATCTGCTATACGGTCAGCACATCCCAGCACTTCTTGCATTTTATTGTTCGCATCCACCATCCACGAAGGTATTCCAACTTTTCGTATGTGGGTTCGGCTGCTGTTTAAGAATTTCCCTTTCGTCATGAATGTCGTTGAATGCTGGTAGAATCGATTCTCCTTGGGGTCCTGAGATAACCGGGCTAGAGCGTTCCCACTTAGAATGGAGAGATTAAACTTTCCCAGACAACTCTGGCACCAATTCTCGGACCAGAGATATAAGAGGCTTGGAGGACTCGGCGCGAGGTCGAGCCCGCACTGCGGTCGTGTTGGTCGGCATTACTACAGCTGTGCTACTCGCACCCCTCCTCCACCTCCCTCCCACCTCCCCCGCCTCGATACATTATTACTAAGTATAATAATAGTGTGCATATGTTTTTCGTACATAATTTTTCTGCAAGCCCTTTTTACTAGCACACAGAATCCTAAAGCGTATCACTCTGATGAAGAGGTTCTTTTCGACAAACAGCTTGAACGCTGAGCACTTGTTAATTGAGGGATTGTAATTCTCTTCGCATGTACTAAAAGCTTGCTAGTTTTGCATTCACTGGGAACTTTGCATTTTCAGAGGCATCGTGTAAAAGGCTGGATGAATTTAGAGATTTTTTACACTGCGTTAATGAATTAGAGTTTTCTTCCGTGTACTGTGGGAAATTCCTGAACTTCTTAATTCAAAGCAGCTTTTGATGGCCTCTTTGGCTGAAATTTGATTGTTGAGCGCACTACCTAACAATTAGGTCTAGAATCTAGAAACTTTTTTGTTATTCGCTATGTGGTGTGGTTTAAGCCGCTGTAATACGACGGAATCGGTCTGCTAAATTTCAATTGAATTGAAGGCAAATTAGCTTCTTCGCACGATCATCGCCTTTTAGGAGTCTTCCACTGAGCTTTTTACGTGGAGACCAACAGAATAGAGTTCAAATTGATGGGTAATGTGCCTATATCATATTGAAACATCACTCTTGAAAACTGTGTAAGATTACGCGGGATTACATGGCATTCCTCTCTGTGGTTCATTTTCGGATTCATGGAATTCATTCGGAATGGCCTGAGAGTTTTACGCGCTGAAATTTGTGATTCCTGCGCGAGGATGGTAACTTCTGTTTCAAATTCTTCGCCGCTATGTCTATGTGTTCAGTGCGCGCCCAGTGGAGAATTTGGTTTAACTTTGTTTATCGATTAGATGATCTTCTACATAGACGTTCAGCGATCTGGCCGGTTCACCAATGTATTCGCCCCTTCGTGCTTTACAAGAGATCAGATAAAAAGTTCCCTAAGTCATGAGATCACTTTCCTTGCCGTTAGGACGCATTGTGCAATCTTTCCTTGTGCGTGAACGCTCGGTTCTGAACTAGCCGGCTTTTGAGAGTGTCTGGTAATATTTCAATGATTGCTACCGAATTTTCTGGACTGGATCTTTTTAGAAAACGTTTTATAGCTACAGTGATTTTGTTGGAAATGAACAGCAGGATAAACCGGGCATCATCCTGATTAGAATTATCGTTTGGGAGCTCGATTTTTCCACTACATCTATCTTGGAGAGCAACGGTTTCGTAACCATGCAAAATGGTTATTTACCGAGCCAATTTCAGGGGTTCTTCATTCTTCTCTAGTTTTGTTCGAACACTGATGGATGTCTCAATGTACAAGTATCTTTTTGTTATTTGGCTTTCGGTATCATTTCGTGATGTTGCCGTTTTCGGGTAGGCTAATTTGAACGAATTCAGAAATGGAAGCCAGTTTCCTTTTAGTTTCTCTCACGTAAACTTATAATACTGTGACTTTATAACTATATAATATATATAACTTATATAATACTTGTATAATGCACTCAATAGCTCGAAACATTTGTCCATTTCCTCCTGTGTTGAGCAAATGACGAGGCATTCATCTATGTACCTATAGTAGAGTAATGGCCTGAGATCGATTATTGGTTCTTCCACCTTAGATATAAAGGCAATGGCAAGGCTTGGTGCCAGTCGTTGTCCTATTACCAACCTTCTAATTTAAGCCCAATATGTTCTGGACCATCTGAGGAATGAGCATTTTAGACGCTCCATTAAGAGGAGCCATGAGCTGCTGAATCTAATAGCTTTACATATTTATTGCTCCGTGTTGCGTAGAGAGCTCGTAGATTGCTTCCATTGCGGACTCATTCGACACATAAGTGGTAGTAATGTCGCAATCTCCACCACGTACGCGTTGCTGCGACGCACGTAGATGTAGACGATCCAGGAACGTCTAGATTTCATGATTTTTCTGCTGGGTTATGGAGTGTTGACGCACTAGGTTTCAGTGAACTTGACCTCTTCCAGGCTCTGAGGAAGACGAAATCCGCCGAAACGGCAACCTTTTTGTGAATGAAGAGCGAAGTAGCAACTTCGTGTGTGATTTTCAAGAATACGACGAATTATTTCAATGCCGAAGTTAAAAAAAACTCGGTCCCACAAATTACCCTATTTGAAGTCCTTCTCAAGTTGTTTTCATTTCGTGTTTCTTTTTTCGTCAGGTATTTTTCACGTTCTTATTGCATCCTCTATCTGTCACAACGAAACAGTGTGTTTAAATATTTTTCCTTTATAGGATGGAATGCCACCCAGACGTGAGCCTTTGAAATATCTTACTTACTACCCGTTCTCCGTTCTCGCTATAGGAAAATCGTTTATATTGGTGAGCTTGTTTGTGTTTTGTAGCAGCAAATAAAGGCCGTTATTTTTATCTTATTTCACTTTATGCGAAGTCTTCAATATTTCGTAGTTTCCGGCTTCGGATGAGTTTGCGTTTACTTGCTACATGAGGACCTTGTCTTCTCCACGTCTGTAATTGGATCATGATTCAGTTCATTCTCTCTGCAACCCCGAAATAATTATGCTAGATCGTTTCCGAGTCTTCGACACATTTATTCACCGGCTTTTATAGATCAGATGAGCCTTTCCAGATAGCCCTGCTACCATTTTATCGAATGCGATTGGATAAAAGACTTCGTCACCTCGGTATGCTGTGAAGCAACAACGATGAGAAGACGTTGTTTATATATATATATATATATATATATATACATATATGTATATATATATATACATATATATTGTATATAACTAAACACAACGTCATCATGGCACTATTTCTGATTCTATTGTACACAAGGCAATAAAAATTTCTACACGACGTTTTTACATATTCCGAACAATGTTTCATCAACGCTTAGAAAATGCAAGAACATAGTGCTGAAAGGTTTGGTGAAGTGCAGAGAATAATAAGAAGAATATAAATAAGAAATAGAGGCTTACTCATAACAGAAATTGGAGCCGAAGGTGCCTCCATGAAGTTGAAACCAGCTTATGTCGCCACCAAACGTAGCACTTTTCCCAGATGTAGCACTATTTCGTTCCAATTCTTATAACCAATAGCAGTGTTTCTTTCATTTTTGTCGAATGACCCAGTTATAACGACGATGAAACCAAGGCTGTATGTTAAATATTAGTGAACCAAACAAGAAAATACATTATTATCTATTGATTCATCATGTGAGATGAATCCTGTAAGGTAGTGGAAAAGTCGGACTCTGCCGAATTTGTGACTAGGAATTTGCAACTTTGTAAGCAGACCTCATCTAAGTTGTTGTTCTCTGGTATTTATTTGACTTTCACTGGTGTTGCGTATAAAAATTTCAAATTCCTGCCTTTTGGCTTCAGTTCTGAAAGATGGAGGCTTTGCGTTACATGAAAGTCGGTACGCCTGTGAAACATCTTCTTCATAGCCCTGGTGACGAGTCATGAACACATTCTGTGAGGAGCATTGAAATGAAAAAAACTAAGAAGGAAAAAGTGATTTTTGCCTTGTTGAATGCGGAACACGCTTCGTTTGAGGGATATGAATGATGAGTGAATTGATGTTGAGTTATGAACGGTCATTCTCACAATTCTGACATTGAAGTCTGAGAATACGGTTGTGTGGAAGTGCAACGATGAGAAAATGAGAAAATGAAGAAGAGGGAAAACCGGTGGATAGCTGTCTAAATATAAGGACATTTGAATGGAAAATGTGAACTAACATTATCTTAGGCGATCTACGCTCTAAACGTGTACATCTGGCAATGGAATCCACATCCTCGTCAAGTCGGCGTCGTCATCTTCATCGTTCCCGTTCTGAATTTAGTTGGTTGTGCATCGGCTCTAATTTCTGTCTGGTTCATGGTCCAAAAATTCTACTGGAAACGAGTGGTGAGAAGATACTGTTACAACATTTCGTTGCTTTTTTCACATAATATCAACAGCGTTAATAATTTTGATCAGAATTTATTTTAATACCTATCCATTGAATTTCAAACGTTTCTATTCTCGATGATCATATGTCTCTTTTCCTTCCACACTTATTCTTTCACACCCACATAACACCCGTTCATAAATACCTCTGATAGTCAGGTGCTCTACTACCTACAAAGTAGTGGTTTACGTTATTTTGAGCCCGAATAGTGCCAGAAATTATCCAGCTTAGCAACGATTGCAATTCTCTGTACTTTTTCCTTATTTTTCTTTCCGTGAATAACAAACACTCTGAGTAAGTCGTCTGTTTACATTCCTAGAAATCTCCGTCGGAGAATGTGTAAACAGCGGGAACGCTATTTAAAATATTTGAGATTAAATTTGAAACATTAGTGGAAGCAACATTAAAAGTCATGAATGTTGTAAATTTGTTGTCTTTAGGAACTTTCGCTTGATCTTAGTGGTGTTGCACTCTCATTGATGGGAATGAGTATCCTGCTGCTTAATCACGGCAAGGATTCATCGTTACGAAATTATATCGCGGTAGGTCTAAAGTGGAGCACCGTTGAGGACGGTGCAGCTGTGTGTATTGGCGTGTGTAGGAGCTTTATATGCGCATGTGTTTGTGTATGTGTGTGTGTATGTGTGTGTGTGTGTGTATGTATAGTGTGTGTATATATATGGTTAGCGTAACATTTAGAGGTGTTCATTATGAATGAGAAAAACAAGTCAACGCGATAATAAAATAAAAGAACGTGTTAAGATGAAATGGTACAATTTCAGTTCAATCATCTACTGGTCACCATTGGATGGTCATTCTGCTTATTCTGGAGTCGTTTTTTCACCTCGAATAAAGTCTCCAATCTGTTTATCAATGAATGGGGTAGTGGTACTGATGATATCGAAATCGAAGCACTTCAAGAACATTTTTATCGGGACACTGCAACATGACATCTGTGTGCCGGTCTATGATATCGTGGTGAACCTATAATTCATTAGACGCTTTCTCTATGGGAGATGAAGAGGCCTTTTGAAGATAAGAATATTTTGTAGGAATATATTATCGATATTGTAGTAACAATAAGGATAATTATTGTAACGCTCATCTCGCCTTTTTTCCGGTGCATTAAGAAAGCATCGTAGTACTTCTTTCGGAGAAAAAGTGAAATGGTTGCGTAACACTCTTTCGGTGTCAATATTGGGGCCGGTCCTGGAAATCAATTTTTTTTACCTTTATCATAGAAATCGGTGAAAATCATATAGTAGCCCGTCATGGTACCGTCGTTGTGACCTTCTACGTCTCACAATCACTGATGGCTTTCTTCCACTGTATAATTTTCAGCATGGCTTTACTGGGTTGCATCATTGTCGTGAAAATATTTCTTTTCTTCTGGGTTCTAAATGTGATACACAACTACGGTTTTCTTCATGGAATTGTACAAATAACTATGATTTCTGGGTTTAGTGATGTGTTTGTCTAGTCTTGTATCTAATTTTTTCCTTAACATAAAGTGATATTTAATGATGAGCTGAGAGCCTTTTCTTATACCGAACCATTTTGTCTTCTTTCATAATCCCCTTACCGTGGTCGATAATTAACGTCGTCCACGCACTAATCGAATGGATGACGGATGCGAGACAAAGATGCAAAAAGAAGAGATCTTGGGATCTGTTAAATGTGTTGAGCCTTGTAATACATAATTTGTTGCAAAACTTGATGCCGGATGGAAGTCGAACTCGAACTACCGCTGCAAGATGCCGCAAATTCCAATAGAGACAGTTTAAAATGGATGGCAGTAGATCAACGACTGTCCTCTGTAAAAAGGCACCTCCGAGTTAGATCCCTTATTGGAGCGGTGCTCCACTCCAATGGATTCGGATGCGACAGCGGCCAGCTGTGGACCATGGACTAGGATTAAAGTGGCTCCGAAGAAGGTGAAAGCTCTGAAACGTTAGTATAATTAATTTTTTTAAACCAATTTCGTCTTAGACTAACTACCCAAAAACCATTTATTAATGTTGTCGAGATTAGCGGAAGGTTGGTTTTAACTTAAATATGAAACGATTTTAGAAAACTCCTAACTGGGAGAACCGATGTTCTTAGTGATTCTGTAGAATACGCTGCCAGTAGTTAGGGTGGATTTATTCGATCAGTGACGGAGTTAGGGGTACTAAATATTGTTTTCTCAATTGGATACAGATTCAGTTTAAACGAGAACAAAGTCAAATAGGGTTTGATATAAAAGGTAGGAATAGATAAAGGTGAATTCTTTCTTATTAGAGAGCTAATAACGTGCAAAGTAGCTGCAAAAAGATATGTTTTACACAACACGGAAGGGTAAGCGGTACTTCGGTTGATTTTCATCAAGCTTAGATATTCTCATAACAAGTGAAGAATTATTCGGAGTTAGAAAGAGGGCTAAAACGAGAAAAAATCGATAAGCACGAAGAGTTGCTAGTATTAATTTTAAGCGATCACCCGAATCACCTGTATCACCTGTAGTCCCGTTAATCGTCGAGTGGCTTGAACGGGCGCCAGTAAATCTTCCATCTTTCTCTGTTGCGTGCAAGAGTAACCCAGTGAGTTCTGCTCTCTCTAAGGACTCGATGAGCACCATATCTTTCATTTAGGCTCTTCTCGAAAAACTCCGATCATCGGATCGGTGGTCTTCCTGCAGTACGTTTGACGACCCCAGGAATCCAGTCACTAACAGCTCTTATTCATCGGTTGTCATTCATACGCATTACGTGTCCGGCCCACCTTATCTTCGACTGTTTGGCGTACAAAACGGCATCTTTGATTTTTGATCTTTGACGCAGGCCGGAGGTTCGGATCCCTTCCCTTACTTGTGGGAAACGGGATACTCCAAGCATCGTCCTTTTGTCTGCGCGTTCGATAACACTGACCGATCTTTCATCCTGTTTATGCATCGACGCATACGTTAGGACAGGAGGTACTGTTGAGTCGAAGGGGTGGGCACGGAGTCGGGCGTTCTTTGTCCTCTTCACTACGTCCTCGATGCTCTTGAAAGCTCCCCAGGCCGTTCGTTTCCCTCTGCTCAGCTCTGAAGCTAAGTCGTTCATCGTATTGATTTCCCGACCTAGATAGATATAAATGGAGCATTTGGAGGTATTCGTTCCGTTGAGCTTGAATGGGGCATACAAAACCAATCTGTTCCTCATGAACATCGTTTTTGTGAGATTTAGTCGAAGACCAATCATTCCACAGGCATTATCAAAATCGGCAAGCATACGTTCCGCATGGCTAATGTTTGGTGCTATAAGGACGATGTGATCAGCAAAGAGAAGATGGTGTAACTGCCGACCATCGATTTTCACTCCCATATTATCCCATTCCAATGTTCGCATGAAGTTCTGGAGGGTGGCGGTAAATAATTTTGGCGAAATCGTATCGACTTACCTAATTCCTCTTTTGACGTCCTGAGTCAAAGGCCTTCTGTAAATCCATGAAAGTGAGACAGAGCGGTCCTTTGTACTCTCGCGCTACTTTAATGAGCCTTGTTGTCGTGTGGATGTGGTCCACCGTATTAAATGCTTTTCGAAACCCTGCTTGTTTACATGGCTGTCCTTCGTCTAGTGTTCTGTCAATCCTGTTTAGGACGACTGGTGTGAAAGTTTGTAGACGACAGGCAGTACGTGGATTGGGCCATAGTTGCCGATATCGAGCAGGTCACCCTTCTTGGACAATAACACGGTCTTGCCGGTCTTCCACTGAGTAGAGACCTTGCATTCAGACAGGTAACATGTGAGGAGCCGAGCCAGTGTGTTTACGAGGACTGGCAGACGGTTCTTCAGGTGTTCTGATCTTATCCTCTCCACTCGATTAGTCGCAGAATTCGCCGCCAAAATAAAGGTCGCTGCTATGTTGGTGGAATCCAGATGTCAAGGTACTTCTTTCCAAGTCAAGGTGATCACCGGCTGCCTATGGCTAGGACATCGAAAAGCTTTCGCATAGGATTTTTTTTCCTCCATGAATGCTTTTAGTAAGAGAGATCATGGGAGAACGCTAATGAAATAACTCGCGATGACAACTGAATATTATGCGATGAAGTTGTGAGCTACAATGTAGGGCTCATCATGAAAATAAACATTAATTGAGTTACGGGAATGCTTTTAGAGAGTAAGTTGGTTTTGATGTCTTTGAACTGCAGTTTTAAGAAGCGGGTTCATTACGTAGCGAGACCCCTGAGGTGAGATAGAAAGCAATACTTTGATAATTCCGCTGAAAGATTTAACTCGTATTAGACAAATATTTTGCATTTTCCAACGTGCTACAATAAATATTGTCCGCACAGGTGTGTTCGGTCGGTGCTTGTTTGTGACGACAACCTAGAAGTGTCGCAGCTAGATCTGCCTAAGGAACACGGGGCTAAATTGCTCAACAGTTATTCCAATGTTGCATCACACAAGAATACTTATTTTCGGGGACAGAACTGCAAAAGTGAGTTTTCGGTAGTTAAAAAAGTAGTTGTTGGAGAATAATTGCAACATGACAGATCGCAAGCCGAGCCGGAATAATTCTTTCCTGATACCATAAATGTGCCGATAAGCACTGACACTCTACCGTATGCACTTAATTAGCGTTTTTCTTCAAAATATAATTTTTTGTCACCTGACTTTTATTCTATGACAAGCTTCTTCTGCATGATGGAAACCGACTTAAACTGACTGGAATATGTTGATATCACTAAGAAAATGTAGAACTATCGCAATACGTTGCCTAATGAGCTAAGTCATTATTGATCCGTATACAACTTCTTGCTTTTCTATGTTTATTTTGTTTAGAAATCAAGAATTGACGGCAGATGGGATTCAGTTGATCAATGATGCTCAGAACCACTTCTTGATCCTAACGCCAATTATAATTACGAGTCAAGAAATATTAACAGCAACTTGTTTATACATTGAAGGATTTTCGAAGGTCGGTCGTAGAACATTCCAGCAGGTAGCAGGTCATTCGTTGTTGGTGAAGCTATAAGCAAGGATAAAGCCAAATCAATTGTTGTATTTAAGTTCAATACACATCTCTCTGCTCTTCGGTACAAGCCAACACAATAAAAATTTCATGTATAACTCGTTGTACTACACTCATATGAATCATGAGAGAAGGACTACGATGATCCATTTATTACGCACAGTGACTGCGCGGAGGGCACGTGAAGTGGCAGTGATTAGGAGTGCTCCGCAATGTGCACTAGGTTTTTCTAGATCTCGCGCACCACTATGACCAAGCCTTTCATCCATCCGGGTTGGTCATGGTGGTACTAGACCTCACTGGAAAGATGGCAGCACCTAGTTCCTACATCGGTAGGCTACTATAAGTCACTATATAAGCTAAACATGCCATCAATCACCTCTACGACGAAGTAGAATGAACGGCGAAGCCCTCAATGACGTAAACGTCAAAATCTTTATCCATATTCGTTCAAAAAAGTTTTCTTCTGCTGACTTGCGGGATCTCACAAGATGTTGCAGAGCCGTTCCTTGTACTAAGGTCGACACAGGGAGTGAAGACAAACCATTATTAACATGAGTTCTGTAAGCTTCATGTACAATATAAAAAGATAAAATGACATCCCGAATCGATAAAACGTGTTCCATTGAGAATTCTTGCAAAGTGGTTGGCCCTTCAGGCGTCAATGGTTTTTCTACATCACGGAGCGCTGTTTAAACCGTAGGTGCGATTGAAGACTAGGTTACAGTAAATTGGAACGATGTTACATTACTAGTAAGAAGATGTGAAACGGTAGACAGAAAAAAACATTCACGCTAGCACATTTGCTCTCCTGTTCAACGAACTACAACCTTATGATACAAAACGTTGTTCCTTGGTGCCGAATGATGACGATAATGTCATTCAAACGGTGCTGTCTAATGCTCACATCAGAAAATTCAAATGTTAGATAAGTTCCAGAAATCACCGTCGCTCT